TGTGGCTGCGGGCGGGGGCCGGGCTGCGGGCGAGGGTCGCGGTCCGAGGGGACCCGGGGTCTGTCGTGTGTGTTCAGGAGGGAAGACCTTTGCTCTGACTGTGAGGCGAAGTCGCTGTTGGAGTAGCAGGCTGCCGTTCTCAGGAGGCTGGGAGCCGTGGAGAGTGGTGGACTGGAAAGGCTTCGCCTGAGCTAGGCTCTTAGGCGTGTTCCAGAAGCTGCTCGGAGCACAGACTGGACAGGGACTGAGCGTGGGAGGCACAGGGGGATTTAGTCCTCGTCCAGAGTCTCACAGCTGATGAGAGTCAGCACTGAGGCCTGAGACGCAGAGAGAATGCCGTCATCCCAGGTGTCCTGGCTCCAGAGCCGGGCAAGGTGACTGGGCAGCCGGGAGCCCGTGGAGCCCTGCCATGGTCACCTGCCTCTCAGCACTTCTTCACCCAGCCTGTCACAAGTACAGAAGCACTTCTGGACCCTACAGAGGGAGTGAGTGGAGGGTGTTGCAGAACCTCACTGATGCTGATCCTACTGATGATCTCTGGGATTGTGGTGTCCTGGGTGGAGGTCTTGATCCTGGGGAGCCTGGACAAATCCTAAGCCCAGGGTCCTCAGAGCAGGCGTCGGGTTATATGGAGTGGCTACTATTGCTGGCAACCGATGGAATGAGGTGTGGAGGAAGGTTGCCCCAGGTGTAGGTGCCAGTCTGTGCAGACTCTTGGAGGTGAGGCTGAACTGGTTTAAGAGAACCGGAAGTCTCCTTTCTTTTCCCTGGGGACAGAGAGCAAGGGGTCAGGAGTGAAGCCTGGAATGGCTCCCTGAGAAGTTGGGTGTCTCTTCTGGAGGATGGGAACGATGAGAGGTTTTGAGCAGAGGAGGGAGGTGATCTGACCCAGCTCTCCTCAGGCTCCCTGTGACTGCGGCATGGAGAACAGACTGGGGGTGTGAGGAAAGTGGTGGGAGGACCAGGGAGAAGCAACTACAGTAGTCCAGGTGAGTGTCAATGATGTGGACCAGTGTGTTGGCCATGGAGGTGGTAGAAACGGTTGGATTCTGGCTCAGTGTTTTTCGGTAGGTCTGCTCTGATTTTCTGATTTTGAAGATGAGAGAGAAAAAGGTAGAAGTCAGGAATGACTGCAGGGTGTTTGGGTTTAGCAGCTGGAGGCAAGGAATTTTCATCAACTGGGATGTGGAATTCAGTAGTGGCATTAATTTTCATTCAGGATATTAGGAGTTCTATTTTCAACATGTTACGTTTTTTGGCTACCTCAGAGAATAAAAGAGTAGCGGCATTAAGTGGGGTAGCTGGACAAATAGGTCTGGGACTGTGGGGAGAGGTTCAGGATGGAGACGGCTGTAGAAGGTTGTGGGTACTATGTGAACCAAAGTGGAACTTTGTGTCTTATTTGGGTAGCCAAAACCTAATACCTATGTTTCTCACAGTTCTGGAAGCTGGGAAGTCCAAGATCAAAGTGCTGGCGGATCTATCCCTGGTGAGCGGCTCTCTTCCTGTAATGCAGATGGCTGCCTTTTGGCTGTATCTCCATATAGCCTTTCCTTAGTGTAAGGCAGTGGAGAGAGCAAGAGATCTCTCTCTCTTCCTCTTTTATGTGTCCCACTTTCATGTCCTAATCTAAACCTCATTACCTCCCATAGCCCCCACCTCCAAATACCATCACAGTGGGGGTTAGGGCAGCTTTTGGGAGGACGAATACATTAAGTCCATAATGCTATGGGTTGCATTTAGTAGGAATAATGCTGGTTATCATGATGTTAATCCCAAGAAGAGGTGGATGGGTTATATAGACTGGTTCTTGCTTGGGCATTTAGATGGGAGGTCACAGACATCACAAACACTGATGGAGGAGAGAAGTGGCCATGGGAACAGTGTGGGACACAGGGTAATCTCGCAGATGATTAAGGCCTATGGGGGGTGAGGATACATAAGAGAGATGTGGAGGCATAGGAGTAATGGAGGCCAGATGACAGTGAGGCCAGGACTAGTGCTTATTCACTGCTGTGTGGGCTCTCTGGGATTTTGTCATGACCTTGTTGTGTCTGGGGGGTTTCAGTCAGGTGGGTGGATTAGACTAGGGACATAGGTGGTCATCTGGGAGAGTCACTGTACCTGGGGTAGAAAGCCTCTGGGACTGGGTTTCGAATGAGGGTTAGGAGGAGAAAGGAAGGCTGTGACTGGTGAGAGCATGTCAAGTGCAGCACAAGTGAAAGAGTAAGTGGGTCATAGGTATGTGAAATCCACAGTTGGTTCTGAGTGCTGAGGTTAAAGCAAGGAACAGAGTCGCGTAGAGACCTGTAGAGCAGGATTCTGGGCTGCCAATGGCAGTGAGGACCTTTGGAGGTCTGGGGTAGTACTGGATTCTGTTTAAATTTGCCAAGCACTTAGATGACATGTGTTGAATAACATGTAGGAAGGACAGGGAGATGCCTATGGTGCAGGGCAGGGAAGAAGTGGTGATTGTGAGAGAGAGATGCCGTAGAAGGAGTGATGTCTGTGTGGAGAGGGAGAGTGAGCTGATAGCCCAAGTGCCCTGCATTGAAGACATAAAGGTGAAATGTGAGCCCATACCCTTGGTTGTGTCTGGGAGGCATGGTCTAGGGGATCCTAGGAGAATTGCCTGACAAGAGGAGGTGCTTCCCTGCATGCCAGGTGCAGAGCTGAGGTGTTGTCTGTCTGCCCACCTGCCTCTTGCTGTGGGTGGACGCAGGGATCAAAGGGACCATGAGGAGAGAGTGTGCATCAGTGACGCCAGGGCCTGGTAACTCCTCTGAGATGGGGAAATGGGGAGGAAGGTGAGCAGTGGATAGTAGAATGGATAGATGTACTTCCACTAGGAGAGAAGCTGATCTTGGAATGAACTATTGTCATCATGACAGGGCTGTGTGACCTTTGAAGATGTGGTCATTTACTTCTCCCAGGAGGAGTGGGTGCTCCTTGATGAGGCACAGAGGATCTTATACCATGATGTGATGCTGGAGAACTTTGTACTTACAACATCCCTGGGTAAGGCCTTCACGTTCCTCCCAGTGTTCTTAGCTGGTCTGTCTCTCCCACTGTCCCAGATACAGCTCTGTCCTTTCCATAGCCAGATTATGGGCTCTGCTAGCTTCCCCACTTCCTTGGCATGTGTACTGCAGGTGCCCCCGCTAAGCTGTGTGCACTACCCCAAGCAATGCACTCCCCATGCAACCCTAACACCTGTTACCCTAAGGTGTGTATGGTAGGATTTGGGAGTCAGGGATCTTGGAATCAACCTAATGGATTTTCCCTCACTTGCCCTCTCCCTGTTTGGATGACTTTGTCCAGATCCCTGGCACCTTGTGCAACAGGTTCTAAGTGCTTTCACTTTTTTCTTTTTCTTTTTTTTTTTTTTGGTGAGGAAGATTGGCTCTGAGCTAACATTTGTTGCCAATCTTCCTCTTTTTGCTTGAGGAAGATTGTCGCTGAGCTAACATCTGTGCCAATCTTCCTCTATTTTGTATGTGGGATGCCACCGCAGCATGGCTGGATGAGCGGTCTGTAGGTCCGTGCCCAGCATCTGAACTTGCAAACCCTGGGCTGCCAAAGCAGAGCGCACAAACTTAACCACTACGTATTTTAACATAGAGTTAAAAATTGTTTTTCTACGATGAGAACTCTTAAGATTTCCTCATATTGCCTGTATCAGGAGTTACAGGCATTGTCATGGTCGCTGCTTATATGGTCCATAGGCTTTTCTTGAAGACCCTCCTTTGAGATTTTATTATAATATTCTTTTCTTTCCTGGGGTCTGTTTCCTGAGTTGCTCTGGGACAGTACTTACCACTCACATCTCCTGTCTTTCCCGAAGGCCTTGCTTCATTCAGGTCTCATGTAGTTACACAACTGGGAATGCAGGGAGAACCTTGGTTGTTTCATAGGGTAGATGTGGCAAGGTGGTCTCAGAGGAGGCCTGGCCCTGGTGAGTGGGACCTGGGGGAGGACATGACCTTATGGCTGTGTTCAGATCATACCAGGAACCCGCCCTATGTACAGGAGTGTTTTGGTGAAAATGCCACTGACCATACATCATTTCTACACTTTCTTCTACATTCTTGACATTTTCCTGGTTTGTCATTTCATCTGTGACTCCAGTCCCTGGCTGCACCCACCTTTCTGACTTCCATGCACCACTCGTACCTCTCCACTGCGTGGTCTGCAGTTCTCCCACTGTGACCCACACATAATGTGTGAGAGGTGAGCACATATCCTTAAATAGTCCTTGAATGCCAGATACTCAGTTCCACTTATATTTTCCTGGACCTGGACACAACCATCCTGCATAACATGGACATGTTCCCATGACAAGGTCATGCTGAAGGCTGTTGGCAGAAGTGTGAGTCGGTGATCCCGCTTCTCTCTTTTTCCCATAAGGTCTCCCCCATTCTGTGATCGTTAGAGCCGCAGTACTGCAAAGCAGCCTGCCCTTTCTTCAAATAGCTGTCAGCTCCCTCTTCCTGAAAACATTCCCATGGATTCATTCTTTGGTTTCAATGTACAGATCTTCCTCAACTTATGATGGGATTATGTCCCAATAAACCCATAATAAGTTGAAAATATCTTAAGTCAAGAATGCACTTAATACAGCTAACCTCCTGAACATTGTAGCTTAGCCTGACTTACCTTAAATGTGCTCAGAACAGTTACATTCCCTACATTAGGGCCAAATTATCTAACACGAAATTTATTTTATAATAAAGTGTTGAATACCTCATGTAATTTATTTATTTATTTATTTATGCTGAGGAAGATTCATCCTTAGCAACATCTGTTGCCACCTTCCTCTATTTTGTATGTGGGATGCCGCCACAGCATGGCTGATAAGTGGTGAAGGTCCATGCCTGGAATCTGAACCTGCAAACCCAAGCCACCAAAGCAGAGCACACGAACTTAACCACTAGGCCCCGGGGCCAGGCCCTCATGTAATTTGTTGAATACTATACTGAAGGTGAAAAACAGGATGGTTCTATGGGTACAGAATGGTTCTAAGTGTATCAGTTGTTTACCCATATGATCTTATGGCTACTTGGGTGCTGTGGCTTGCTGTTGCTGCCCAGCATCTCAAGAGAGTTGCTAGCCTGAGAAAAGATCAAAATTTAAAGTATGGTTTCTACTGAAAGCATATTGCTTTCAAACCATCATAAAGTCAAAAAATTGTCAGTCAAAGCATCATGAGTAAGGGACCATCTGTGTGTGTATGACACATTTTCAATTGGACTTCCCTGTCCCACCTAAGTTAACATGCACTATATCAATATTTCTCTGCTTTCAGATTGCTGGTGTGGAGCAGAGGATGAGGAGATACCTTCAGAACAGAGCATTTCTGTAGATGCAGTGTCACAGATCAGGACTTCCAAGGCAGGTCCATTGACCCAGAAGACTCACCCCTGTGAGAAGTGTGTTTCAGTGTTGAAAGACATGTTTCACCTGACTGAGCTCCAAACAACATATTCTGGGCATAAACCATGCTTTGGTGGGGTATCAAGAGGTTTTTGGTTCAGTGCAAACCTTCAGCAGTACCAAAAGCATGGCAGTGGAGAGGAAATCTTCAAAATGAACATAGACTGGACCTCATTTGTGACGAACTGCAGATACCACATGTCAGGGAAGCCCCTCACCTGTGGGGAGAACGGAAAGGACTTTTTAGCTACCTCAGGCCTTCTCCTGCACCAGGCCACTCCCAATGGTGAGAAGCCACACAGCAACATCGACTGTGAGGAGGCCTTTAACAGTAGAAAAAGTTATGACAAGTGGATTGAATGTAGGAAAGTTTTCAGCAACACAAACACTGTTGATCACCAGAGAGTATGCACTAGAGAAGGTCTTGATGAGTGTAGCAAATGTGGAAACGCTTTCAGCTGCAAATACAAATTTGTTCAGCACCAGCCAATTCATATTAGAGAATGGCCTTATAAGTGTGGTGAATGTGTGAAATTATTCACCCACGAAACCTACCTCATTCAACACTGCAAAGTTCACTCTGGAGCAAAGCCTTATGAGTGCATTGAATGTGGGAGATCTTTTAGCTGGAAATCTGACCTCATTCAACACCAAAGAGTTCACACTGGAGAAAGGCCTTATGCGTGCAGTGAATGTGGGAAATCCTTTAGCCAAAGCTCAGGCCTCCTTCAACACAAGAAAGCTCACACTAGAGCAAGGCTTCATGAGTGCGCTGAATGTGGGAAAGCTTTTGGATGTAAATCCAAACTTGTTGGGCACCAGAGAATTCACACTGGAGCAAGGCCTTATGAGTGTGCTGAATGTGGCAAATTCTTTAGACAAAGCTCCAGCCTCGTTCAACACCAGAGAATTCACACTGGAGCAAGGCCTTATGAGTGCATTGAATGTGGCAAATCCTTTAGCAAGAAATCTGTCCTCATTCAACACCAAAGAGTTCACACTGGAGAAAGGCCTTATGAGTGCAGAGAATGTGGAAAATTCTTTAGCCAGAAATCTATCCTCATTCGACACCAAAGAGTTCATACTGGAGAAAGGCCTTATGAGTGCAGTGAATGTGGAAAAGCTTTTAGATGTAAATCCAAACTTGTTGGGCACCAGAGAATTCACAGTGGAGCAAGGCCTTATGAGTGTTCTGAATGTGGCAAATTCTTTAGACAAAGCTCCAGCCTCATTCAACACCAGAGAATTCACACTGGAGCAAGGCCTTATAAATGTGGCGAATGTGGGAAATCTTTTAGCCAAAGTGCCATTCTCATTCAGCACCAGAGAGTTCATACTGGAGAAAGACCATATGAGTGCAATGAATGTGGGAAATCCTTTAGCCAAAGTTCCAGCCTCATTCAGCACCAGAGAGTTCACACAGGAGCAAGGCCTTATGAGTGCACTGAATGTGGGAAGTCTTTTAGCCAGAGCTCTGGCCTCCTTCAACATAGGAGAGCTCACCTGCAGTGAATGTGGGAAATCTTTTAACTGCAAATGACCTCAGTAAACACTGAAGAGTTCACTCTGAAAAAAGGCCTTAGATATGCAGAGAATGTGCTCTTTCGTTACTTAGTATAACAGCATTGGAGTAAGTTCTCTGAGGAGCCATCTGCCTGAATTGAGCCTCTCATAAATGGGACATACATAGACTGGAGATTCTCCATACATTTTAGTTATGTGGGAAGCATGTGTAACCTGCCCGTGGTCCTTATCAGATTTATGTCACTGCCAGTGGCAGAATCCCTGTTACCTCTACCACCTGGCAGGTCCAGACCATGTGTATCAGGCACCACCCTAGTACACTCAGTGATGCTGACCTGTTTGCTTTCCATTTTGTTGGAGGAAGCATGAGTATCCTGAGCCCTTATAGGGTCTTTATTCCCTTCTCTCTGACGAGTCAGGGCATGGACTTGACCCATTGTTGTCCCAGAGAACAGTATCTGAGTTCTGCTGATGGCTTGCAGAGAAAGACTAGCTTTTTTAGGTACGTATTTGGTCTCAGGTATTGTTTGTGATGAAGTTTTCTGCCTTCCACGTCTCCAAATCAAAAACTGCCTGTCGCACACACATTGCTCTGTTTGTGCAATAATAAAGACCTTTTTTTAAAAAAGCACCTTTAATCTTGGAAATTCTACTTACTGTGTGGGGTAGTTTGAAAGCACAATAGAACTGTTAACTTGAGGGTTAAACAACTTTTGTGGGGATCCAAACTTTGGGTGCTTCAGAGTGCACAGTATGATGGCTACATATAGTGCTCCCCAGTTTTGGCCTAGTTTGCATTGTTGCCAAGGCCTTCTAGGAGAGACTGCTTTGTGGTCCTAATTTTTTGCCTGGATGCCAGAGGTCTGTGGGCTCAGAGGTCACCCTGAGGAAGAGGCAGTTGTGAAACCTTCAGTGATTCTGGAGACAGCATGAAATTCTTTTTTTTTTTTGCTGAAGATTCCCTGAAGATCCATTGCCAGTCCTCCTTTTTTCTTTCTTGCTTGAGGAAGATTAGCCCTGAGCTAACATCTGTGCCAATCTTCCTCTATTTTTTTTGTGTGTGTGTGGGACACCACCACAGCATGGCTGGTGAGAGGCATAGGGGTCTGAACCTGCAAACCCAGGCTGCCAAAGCAGAGTGTACAGAACTTTAAGTAGCCATGGAGCTGGGCCCAAATCTTTCTTGCTCACAGGGGATAGCACATAATACTCAGCACTGCTGAGGGGAATCTTAATCCCAGTTCATACAAGGGAGCCATACACCTTGATACTCAGAATTCAGTAGACTAGTGTCACTAGTTGTAAGACGGTAGGGGTAAGGGAGACAGCGATTGGACAGAAACATGGGATTAATAGAGAGTGGAGACTGCAACAAACTAGATAGAATGTGCCTCTTCTAAAGATGCATCCACGATTGTTCTAGTGACAATGACTGTGGAATGAGTGTGTAGAGAAATCTCAGAACCTGCAGGTATGTTTATCCAGTGTAGTTGAAATCACTGGTAGACAATCGTGTCCCAAACGGTAATGTTTGTGGATTCCTGTAGCCTCTCTGATTTTTTCACATCAAGGCCATTGCTATACAGGCAAAAAAAGGATGGAGAGAAACGACGTCCTGTAGTCCAGGGGTGTGGCTTTTGTTAACCGGTCAGCAATCCTCTTGACTCAGGTGGAAATGGCCTTCTTTGTTTGGTAGTATTTTGTGCCACCAAGGGAAGACTGTCCTCAAGGCATAAGGAATGAGCTAGGGACTCAATACATATTTATCAAACCTGATTCTCTTCCATGTATAATCAAGTATGTTTTTCCATTTTTCTGTTTATGAATATTTGGGTTATTCTAGTGTTTAGCTATTTTAAAGCTGATATGAATACTTTTTACAATTGTTCATATGGATATGTTTCATTTTCTTGTATTAATAACTCAGAATGCAATGCCTGAGTCATGAGATAGGTGAATATTTAAGTGTTTATGAAACTCCCAAACTGTAATCTAAAATGGTTGGTTGTTTCTGCATTCCTACCAGCAGTGTGTGAGAGTTCCAGTTCCTTCACACCCTAGTCAATACACAGTAAGGTCACTTTTTTCTTTTAGAGATTGTTTTTTTTTTTAAAGATTGGCACCTGAGCTAACATCTGTTGCCAATCTTTTTTCTTCTTCTTCTTTTCCTCAAAACTCCCCCAGTATATAGTTGTATGTTATAGTTGTAGGTCCTTCTGGCTCTGCTATGTGGGATGCCAGCTCACCATAGCTTGATGAGCGGTGCTGGGTCCACACCTAGGATCCAAACTGGCAAAACCCCAGGCTCCCAAAGTGGAGCGCGCAAACTTAACGACTCGGTCATGGGGCTGGCCCCAGCAAGGTCACTGTTTAATTTTACCCTTTTAAAATAAGTTTGTAGTGGTGTCTCACTGGTTTTAATTGCATTTTGGTAAGGATGTATGATGCTGAGCAGTATTTTGTGTGTTTGTACTTGCATATCTTCTGTAAAATGCCTATTATCTTTGGCCTATTTTCTATTTTATGAATTTTGTCTATGTGCCTTTAGTAACAAAAAAAGACAAGTGATAAAGACACTTTGGAATTTTACTTATTTTCAACTATGTGAGTGAGGTCTTTGCTTCATGGAATAATTGTTTTTGAATACTGTAAGAATATTTTGTCATTTTTTCCTCAATTTTTATTTCTTATTGAGGTAATATTGATTTACAACATTATGTAAACTTCAGGTTTATATCCTTATATTTCAACTTCTGTATAGACTGCATCACGTTTACCACCCAAGGTCTAATTGGCCATCCACCACTGTACAAATGTGCCCCTGTACCCCTTTTGTCATCTTCCCATTGCCCTTCCCCTCTGGTAACAGCAATCTAGTCTCCTTATCTATGTGTTTGCTTTTCTTCCACCTATGAGAGAAATCATACGGTATTTGTCTTTCTCTGTCTGACTTAGTTCACTTAGCATAATACCCTCAAGGAATGTACATGTTGTTACAAATGTCAAGGTTTCATCTTTTTTTATGGGTGTGTAGTATTCTGTTCTACCTATATATATATGTTTTCTTTATCCATTCATCCACTGATGGGCATTTAGGTTGTTTCCACCTCTTGGCTATTGTGAATAATGCTTCAGTGAACACAGGGGTGCATATATCTTTTCAAATTTATGTTTTTGTGTTCTTTGGATAAATACCCAGAAGTGGTATAGCTGGATCATATGGTAGTTCCATTCTTAATTTTTCAAGCAATCTCAATAGTGTTTGCCTCAATGACTGCGCCAATTTACATTCCCGCCAGCAATATTCGAGGCTTCCCTTTTCTCCACATCCTCTCCAATGCTTATTTCCCGTCTCTTTAATAATAGCCATTCTGACAATCATCAGATGACATTTCATTGTGGTTTTGATTTGCATTTTCTTAATAGTTAATGATGTTGAACATCTTTTTGTGTGCCTCTTGGCCATCTCTATCTTTTTTGGGAAAATGTCCATCAAATCCTCTGCCTATGTTTTTAGTTGGGTTATTTGTTTTTTTGTTATTGAGTTGTATGTGTTCTTTATCTATTTTGGCCATTAACCCCTTATCAGATATATGATTTGCAAATATCTTCTCCCAATTGTTAGGTTGTGTTTTTGTTTTTTGTTGTTGTTGTTTTGTTTTTTTTTAACTTTTTATTGCGATTACGATAGTTTACAACCTTGTGAAATTTCAGTTGTACATTATTGTTTGTCAGTCGTGTTGTTGGTACACCGCTTCACCCTTTGTGCCCCCCCTTTCCCCTGGTAACCACTAATCTGTTCTCTTTGTCTACATGTTTAACTTCCACATGTGAGTGGAGTCATACAGAGATTGTCTTTCTGTATCGGGCTTATTTCACTTAATGTAATGCCCTCAAGGTCCATCCATGTTGTTGTGAGTGGGACGATTTTATCCTTTTTGTGGCTGAGTAGTATTCTATTGTGTATATATATGTATATATACACATGCATATATATATACACCATATCTTCTTTATCCAGTCATCATTTGATGGGCACTTAGGTTGCTTCCACGTCTTAGCTATTGTAAATAATGCTGCAATGAACACAGGAGTGCATGGGACTTTTGGAATTGCTGATTTCAAGTTCTTTGGATAGATACCCAGTAGTGGGATGGCTGGGTCATAAGGTATTTCTACTTTTAATTTTTTGAGGACTCTCCATACTGTTTTCCATAGTGGGTGCACCAGTGTGCATTCCCACCAGCAGTGTATGAGCGTTTCTTTTTCTCTGGTTGTGTTTTTGTTTTGTTGATGGTTTCCTTTGCCATGAAGAAGCCTTTTAGTCTGATGTAATTCTATTAGTTTATTTTTTCTTTTATTTCCTTTATCTGAGGAGACATGATATTCAAAATGATGCTGCTAAGATCAATGTCATAGAGTATAGTGCCTATATTTTCTTCTAGGAGTTTTATGGTTTCAGATCTTACATTCAAGACTTTAATCCATTTTCAGTTACTCTGTGTATGGTGTAAGATAATGGTCTACTTTCATTCTTTTGCATATGACTGTCTAGTTTTCCCAACACCATTTATTGAAGAGACTTCCCTTTCCCCATTGTATGTTCTTGGCTTCTTTGTTGAAAATTAGCTGTCCATAGATGTGTAGGTTTATTTCTGGGCTCTTGATTCTGTTCCACTGATCTGAGTGTCTGTTTTTGTGCCAGTACCATGCTGTTTTGATTACTATAGTTTTGTAGTATATTTTGAAGTCATCTCCAGCTTTGTTCTTTTTTCTCAGGATTGCTTTGGCTATTTGGGGTCTTTTGTTATTCCATCAAATTTTAGGATTCTTTGTTCTATTTCTTTGAAAAATCTCATTGGGATTTGGTAGGGATTGCATTGACTCTGTAGATTGCTTTAGGTAATATGGACATTTTAACTATGTTAGTTCTTCCAGTCTGAGCACAGGGTATCTTTCCATTTCTTTGTGTCTTCCTCAATTTCTTTCAAGAGTGTCTTATAGTTTTTATTGTACAGGTCTTTCATCTCCTTGGTTAAATTTATTCCTAGGCATTTTAAATTTTTTGTTGCAATTGTAAATGACAATGTATTCTTGATTTCTCTTTCTGCTAGTTTGTTATTAGTGTATAGAAACACTACCAGTTTTTGTATGTTTATTTTGTATACTGTGCCTTTAATGCATTCATATTATTTCCAAAAGTTTTTTGGCAGATTCTTTAGAGTTTTCTGTATATAAAATCATGTCATCTGCAAATAGGGACAGTTTCACTTCTTGCCTTCCAATTTGGATACCTTTTATTTCTTTTTCTTGCCTAATTGCTCTGGCTAAGACTCTCAATACAACGTTGAATAAGAGCGATGAGAGTGGGCATCCTTGTCTTGTTCCTGTTCTAAGAGGGATAGCTTTCAGTTTTTTACCATTGTCTATGATGTTAGCTGTGGCTTTGTTGTATATGGCCTTTATTATTTTGAGGTACTCTCCTTCTATACTTCTTTTATTGACAGTTTTTATCATAAATAGATGCTGAATCTTGTCAAATTCTTTCTTAACATCTATTTGAGATGACCATGTGATTTCTTCATTTTGTTATTGTAGTGTATCACATTGATTGATTTGCTGATGTTGAAC